GTCCGGCCGTCGCCATTTGGGGCAGTTTCCGGTGGAATTTTTTGATGAAATATTTTAATCATCTTATTCATTAAGTCTAGTTTACTCATATCAAATTTCAGCCAAAACTTAAATCGGGAAGGCATTCAAATGAAGTCTTGAAGATAACTACGCTTTTAACTGCGCAGTTATCTTCAAGACTTCATTTGGATGCCTTCATGATTTAATTTTTATCTGAAATTTGGTATGAGTAAACTAGACTTAATGAATAAGATGCTCAAAAATATTTATCAAAAAATTCCACTGGGAACCTCCCCAAATGAAAAGTCCCGGACAGTAAGGACGTTATAAGGACTTATTTGACCCCTTTATGCAACTTCGAGGACCAAACTGACTCTTACCTCCACTAATAGCTTAGAAAAATCTTGTTCAATGTGTTTGGTGTGAGCTCATTGAAAGCAGTTTGAAAAGCATCAATTAGTTGTGTAATACTCTTTGGGGCCTTTTGATCTTTTATTGAATCAATAGCCTAAAGAACCCCAAGTCCAGCACATTCGAGTCTGGGCTATTTGGGGGCTAACATATGAGTTGGATGTTCCAACCATTGTCTGTCCCACACTTGACAAAGTATGGTTCATCAACTGGAATATGGGGTCTAGCATTGTCTTGTTGAATTATGACATTTCTGTTTTCAGAATCTGGCCATTTGTCCTTGATTGCTGGCAGAACTGTATTCAATAGCATATCTTTAATTACTGCTCTTGTCACACTTGTGATTGGTTTAGTCACTAGAGTCACAACAGCCTTTTTTTGTTTGATATTTTGGTTGCTTCTTCATAAGTGAAGGGGAATATACCTACTTTATCATCTCACTTCACTTCCCCATTCTGTCCCAGCCTAGGCCTACCAACCACAGCTAAGAACATGATTTTAGGAATGGACTTTTTGGACTGCACTGATCTGTATGGATCGTTTTCTGTTGGCAAAGTGTAAAATTTGGTAGTTTTTTTGGAGAGGTAAAACCACTTCTCATCAATGTGTAAGCAGTTATGAAAATCGTGAAAAACGGGGCTGCTAAGAAGGGAAATTGGGGTTATGTGACGTAAACAATACTCTAACCTTTTTTGTTTCCCAGCTTCACTCAACAAGGGCTTCATAGCACTTTAATGTCTTTTAATTTCCTTTCATTGAAACCATCTATGGACTGTGGATTTGGAAACTTGCATTGCATAGCCCAGAGCACGCATATTTTTCTCTAATGCAATGGTATTTCAGAAAGCTTTTTAGCATGAAACACACCCGCTTTCTGCCCACATTTCCTTTGCATTGACTTTGCATATTTACAGGTTGACCACCAAGCGTTTGCTCTTTTGCTTTCTTCCACAGCCTCTGCACAGTGCGGGCTGTAATGTTGAACTCTTTTGCTGCGTTTTTTATTTCACCCCGCTGAAGTTTCCATTCACAAGAACTACCTAACAACTTTTCAATTAATCTTTTTCTATAATCACTACTAAATTTTGGCCTGATACATGCCTGCCTTTGCACTGTAGGTTCTGGAGTTGCCTCTTCTGATTGTGGGCAGTTTGCAGGTGACAACGGGCCGAGATCCACCACATCCAAGGGCGTTTCGTTGACATCCAAGGACATTGCAGAAGTAGTTCGCAGTGAAGCCAATGCTTGTTCTCGACTTGTGTCCATTTAATGGTTGTATTCAAGGCTTAGGAGGCGTTTACTTCGCTGCTAAAGTCACAGTTAGGTTAGTAAGACAGGTGAAGTAACATGCATGTTGCTTAAAACGTTGTTTACTAACCGAAAGAGGTGTTTAAAGTGCCGCTTACTAAGCATACCACCCCCATGTATTAATTAAACGGCACTTTAAGCTTTTTCAATTTCGGAATTTACCCTTACCTTTACCCCTTGCCCTTACCCTATTGCTACCTCACTACCCCACCCTACCCTACATTACCCGACCCCAACCCCGACCCCCCCGACCCCAACCCCACCCTAACCCCCCGACCCCATCCCCACCCTTGACCCGACCATACCCCACCGCCACCCTACCCTCCACCACCTGCCCTACCCCACCCCAACCCTCACCCCTTACCCTACCCCTTTACCCCCTACCACCTTCCCCTACCTTGACCTGACCCCGGCCCCACCCCTACCCCGCCCCCCTACCCCCTACCCCTACCTCAACTCCACCCCTTTCCCTACCCCGACCCCCATCATACCCCCACTTGTACCCCTTACCTCGACCTTACCCTTTTACCCCTACCACCTGCCCCTACCTCAACCCCACCCCCGACCCCCACCCCACCCACTCCCATTACCATACCCCGACCCCTACCCCTCTACCCCATATCACCTTCCCCTACCTCGACCCAGCCCCTACGAGTAGGGTGGGGGTTGGTATTGGTGGGAGTAAGTGTGGAGGGTAAGGTCGTGGTAAGGGTAGGGATAGGGAAGGGGTGGGGTCAAGGGTGTGGAATTGGGGGTATGGTGAGGGGTGGGGGTACAGGGTGGGGTAGGGGTACAGGGTGGGGTAGGGGTAGGGGTGTGGGTAAGCGACTAAGCGTGCGAGGTGACCCCACATATTATATTATATACTTGTGTGTGTATATTTATAGGGTTATTTTGGACATTTTAATGTTAAATGGTGTTTTAAATCCTTTGAAGTAAACATGAGCTTACAACATTGCTTATTTTATTCACCGCTTATTAACACGAGTCTTAATAAGCACCGTTTACTAACCCGTGAAGTAAACGTGTCCTTAGTTTTTGTAATGAATGTGGTGTATTTATAGTTGTAGGTCATTGGTAGATTAGAAAATGTAAAAACATTTGAAGTAAACATTTGGAGGAGTTTCGAATTTTTGGCATCCAAATTGTCATGGTAGACAATTTGGATGCACTATAGAACCATCTTGTCAACTTACAAATTGTACTTTGATGTTTAAAGGCGACTCCTTTTGTTCTCTTAATTCGGCCCCCTTTTATTTTTTTACCGTCAGCTATTAGGGGTAATACCCTCGCCTTTGTGAGGGTACTTTTGGAAAGTCACACTCCTTTTTTTTCCTTCTCTTAATTAGAGCAAAGTCAAAGTAGGACAATGTTTTAGGAACGGAAGGAGTATATAATACTCCCTTCATAACACTCATATCTTTCCACTGTCGTTTTTTAGCTGTGACATTCATATCTTCCCATTTCTAAATCTTCCTATCATACCCTCAATAATTTTAAAAATAATACACTATTACAACTATTTTTGGGGGGATTTATCCTTCATTCCAGCACACTATTTCATTATCTTCCCATAATAGCTTCAATAATTTGTATCTTCTTTCACTATTCTTATTCTCACGTACTTTTCAAATTGGAAGATATATCTGTCACGAATGTAGTAAAAATTACCGCATATAACCTCTATCATCTTTTTCTATTTGACAAAATTACACGTTCCATGATAAAATATAATTTTAAATAACTTATTAAATTCAAAATATATCCGTTTGCAATTCGTGTACTAATCAATAAAAGTAGTTGTGGTATTGGGCAAATCAGCGAGTACGGAGAATTAAACAAGCCATAAGGTTCCAAACTTGATGTTGACTAGCTGAGTCGAATCAATACGATGAGTATTTAATGTTTACAAAATAAATCAATAAAAATAGCGATTGATAGTAATGCCTGTAGTTATCTCATCTGTCTCCTAACTTCCATTCAATCACACAACACTAGTTAAACTTGACATTATGGGTTTATTATGGTAATGTTTTTTTTTGACGAAATCTATGGTACTGTTAAACGTTAAACTAGTTACTGTCCAACTCTACCTCTGGCTTAACTATAACTACAAGCCTACAATCCCACAACATTAGACGCAGGGCTGAAGTCAAGGCACTAGACCGGACATGGTTAGTACAAAAAATATTTTTTAAAAAAATAATTACACGAAATTATTTACTTTAAAAAATAAGGCATTTTTTTAAATTTGGAGTGAGTCAGATCCTAGGTTTGCCCCCCGCCCTTTGATCCGCCCCAATCTATACGCATCCTTGCGCCATCATAAAATTTAAATATGAACTACTTTTGGTCCCACTACAAGGGGTCTAAATCCGAGCAGCTCAAACCCTTTTGATTAGGAAGAGAAAAACAAACACAAAAAAGAGCTATTTTGAAGAGAAATTTTACAAAAAAAAAAATCTCTCCTAATATAGTGAGAAATAGAACAATAAAATAGAAAAGAAATAAGAACAAAATGATATAAAAAGTAATAAAAAATGTCTAGGGATTAAAATAAAGAAATAAAAATTTTAAGGAGAAAAAAAAATGAAACATGAGACCGTTTTGAGCAGATTTGTGAAAGGTGGGATTGTTTATATAAGGTTTTCAAAAAAGGGTAAAAACTTGGTATAATAGATCATCAACATGTCATAATCCAACGAAAGAAGATGAGGTGCAAATGTGAGATTATTACGTGAAAACCGGTGAAATGTGCAATTATTCATGTCAATTTTTCCTTTTTTATTTGAATATACTTCTAACTTATCATAGTATATGTCCATAATTGAAATGGTTGATTTAAAGTGTCTAAAAAATACGGAGTATCTGGGAATGTTTTTTACATGATTTATAATTTTATACCATCCAACTAAAATGAAAACTCAAGGACTACAACACATGAAGCAATTAATAGACGAATTTCTACTAAACCAAAACAATCATGCCAATTAGAATTTAGAACCTGGCTTGGTGGGGATTAAAAAAAATCTTAGAAAATGCCCTAAATAGGAGTAAAGACGCTTTGAAATTCCAAAATAAGAGTATCATGTTTTTTATTCCTTGAATAGGAGTAATTTGACAAGTTTGGAAAAGAATATCATGTTTAAAAGTCTAGTAATGCCAAACTTGACAGAAATTTACTCCTATTTAGGGAATAAAAAACATGATAGTCCTATTTTGTAATTTCAAAACTTTTTTTACTCCTATTTAGGGAATTTTTCAAAAAATTAATAAAGTGACAAAATAGTAAATCAGTAATTGAAATTATTGACTTTTTCCCTTTGGATGTACTTCTAACATATTACTCATATAATATATGTTTAATAGTGATTGGTTTAAAATGTTTAAAAAAGTATCTCGAAAAGTTTTTCATAAATGATTTATCCGATCTAACTAAAAGGTAAGCATGGTCGTCATTAGGCATGGACCGGGGCCAGGTCAGCCCAGGCTCCGGGCCGGTTCAAGCCGGGCTTTTTTTCAGATGTTGAGCCCGGAACCGGCCCGAGTTGATACCGGGTCCGGGCCAAACAGGGTTGGGCCGGTCCAATGTATAATTTCTTTTTCTTTCTAATTAACCCCTGACCCCCCCCCCCCCCTCACCCCCACCCCTCAAACCTCCCCAAAACACCCAGCCCTATCCTAGGAAAAGAAAAGAAATTGAAAAAACAAAAAAAAATGAACCAGGCCCGGCCTGGACCGCCCGGGCTGGTTCAAGAAAAACAGGGCCCGAGCCCGGCCCGCCAGGCCCACCCAACCCGGGCTAAAGCCCGGAACCGGCCATCCGGTCCCGGTCCAGTCTGGGCCCGCACAGTAGCGGGCCGGTTCAGCAGTCCACCCCTAGTCATCATTCACTCATTCCTACTTGACACTATCAGTGTTAATCCATTGTTCCCTTATTAGTAGTACTAAACCACTGATAAAATAGCAATAATTATGTTTTTATGGACCAACATACCCCCTCCCCCTCCCCCCCCTTCAAAGATAACCCTAGTTAACCAAAGATAAAGCAGGCTACCAAACAGGCACTAAACGCTATTAGTGTAATTGAGGGAGAGAGAGAACAATAATAAGGGCTGTTTAATAAATGAAAGGCCTGCCAAATCAATAAGGAAAAGCCAGTAATTACATTTGAAATCATGTATGCATTCAAAACATAGCATTTCATTAGAGAACCTATGAGTAGCATGTAACATACTATACTAGGTTTCTTATATCCTTTGAGAATGTCATCACAAAAATTAATGAAACCGTAGGATAGGATCTCTCATCTCTGGGGAGGAATGAATTCTATGCTTCGTCTGAAACAGGGATTATGTCTTTTGCCACATAGGCCTGCCTAAGATTGCACTTGCATGGACAGCAAGGTAAGAAGCATTTAACCTATCAAAACAGAAATGCATCTGTTTTAATGTGAAGTATATACTTTTGCTTCCTTTAGACAACTTAAGTCATAACTTTAACCATTTTCATTAAAAAAATCCAAAAAATAAATTCGTCATACATGCATGCAGCAAGGCGTGCAAACGGTGCAACTAATTATAGAAAATGTGAAAGGACGAGCGTACCTGTCAACATCGGGTGCAGCCAACGGATCATGTCTTTCCTCCCTTTGGTCCACAGCTGGAGTAGTCATTGCCATATCTTGAGCTCCTTCACCCTACATCAGAAATAGTATAACAAGTTTATGAAATATCACCCCATTTCTTCCCCTAATTTTAGGGTTGTAAGAATAGGAATAATGATACCCCCACAGTACCACACTCTTAAATTCGTTATTGTTTAAAGAGATGTGATCAAGCTGAATTTTGGTCTTATTTAAATATGTGTCTTCACTTTTCTTGATTTATCAAAAAATAAAAAACCATCTTAGTCTAACAAGTCCACTATTTATCCCCCACTTTAGTTTTCTCCACTTCTGGTGCACAACAATGGATTTCTTGTCACTTTTGCTCCTTCCCATAACTTGTACGCCTCACTTCCTTAAAATTCCCAGTTAATTTTTGCCCGATAAATAACCACACACATGCATACAGGAAAGAAAGGGTCTTGGAAGTTGGGTTTGATTTTCATTTCTGGCCATTTATGACTAAAATGGGTTCTGTCAATATGGTTTGACTCAAATCACTCAATCATGGCAAAAATGATCAGCCAAACAATCTAAATACTGTATCAGATGCTCCTAATCCCCTGTTATAGAAGCCAACTCCAATAGCAGGAGCAAAATATGCACACCGAGTGTGAAATATATTACCGGTTGTGTGTATTGGCTGTAACCAGGATAAGCGCCATATGCATACATGGAAGGATCTTGAGTAGCTGCATAAGCATATGGATCATATCCCTGTCCATAACCATAATAAGCATTCCATTGGCTTGCATCGGCTACCTGACCCCATTGACCAGCGTCCTGAAGAGATAGGTAATCAAATTGTCAAAATTTAGAAAGAGGGGGGAAGAACTCTTTTTCTGTGAAGGCTTTCACGGTATAAGGAAGAGGGAGTTCATCGTTCAAATGCTGTTAAATCATTCTGTGATTCTCTGCTTCTATTATATTGTATGATTGTTGATTGATTTTGGGACTAACAAGTAGAAAAATCCATATGCGTCAAAAGTGGAATAAATGAATGTAAACGGCCAAAAATGTAAGTTAACTAATAGTTGTGGGATCAAAAATGGAACTAGTCACCTGTTTAGCAGTTGGTGTCCTACCCCAATAAACACGAACTATTTGTTGACCAATCATAGTACCACTCATCCTCTGAATTGCCTCTTCAGCAGATGCCCTATATCCGTAAAAATTTTACATATGTGAAAACTACTGTATACTGGTTAAAGAATTATGATGGAAAACAAATACTACTAGAGTGAACCAAAATAAAATTTTCAACAGCAGGCATGATAAGAACAGACCAACCTTGCAGCAAATTGTATGAATGCACATGCTTTAGAAGCAACGATTTTGACATATATAATTTCCCCAAGGTGCAAAAAGGTTTGTCGTAGTTCTTCCTCTGTAACATTAGGGTCAATATTGCCAACAAAAATCTGCAACCCGTAGGAAGAAGAATTGATATTCTTCGTATTGATGAATGATGAAAAAGCATGAAAGACACCAGCGTATAAAAATTGAAACTTACAGTAGTGTTATTGGGGTCACTTTCAGGAACTGTTGGCTGCACAGTAGGGTAGACTGGAGTTGGATATACTACTGCAAAATAAAACCAAAAAATAGCATTTGATACCCAATTTAGGAGAAGAAAAGTTTGGGCCCGCTTTCAGTATCAGATAACAAAATTATTAACGCACTTTTTTATCTTGAGAAGTGTTAAAAATGCAGCTACAGGAACAGAATGATAGTAACCCCCCAACCCCCATGTGTGATTCCAGTTTCCAAATGTCACTTGATTCAAAATAATTCCCTCTATTCCTACGACCAGCTCCACTCCCCTAATTCACGCCATTCATCTCATCCTCCGATTTATGTTGTTTACTATTCATTGTCAACCCAGGTTGACTTTTCCATGCCAAGTTTCCTTGGTTTTTTTCTCATAGAAATTGTAAGTAGATGTCTCTGTCTAGTAGAACTCATTATGTTGATTCGAAAAAATATTTTAGAGAGTATTTTGATATGGGTGTGGTTGGGAAAGAAAAATGTCCGTAAACCGGAATCTATTCCATTCAGAATCCCAAATTTCTACCAGAATGCTCCCTGCCACAAATACCAAAAGATAATGACAAATGATACTCGTAAAACATCAAAGTAAAAGAGCAACTGATGCAACAGAAAAGAAAGATAAAATGTAAGGGTTTGCTGGTCTTTTAATGTGTTTATATTAGTATATATACTTTACAAAGACAATTTATTATCTTATACTCGACGTACCTAAAAGAGGATAAACAGAAATAAGTAAAAGTGCCATTTACACGGCAAAGCATCTTTGATGACCCTCACTTCAAATTCACATATTGACAAGTTTCCATGAAAAAGGAACCAAAAAAAGATACTTGTTCCATACAAAACATGAGTGAAGGAAATTATAGCGGTGGAGCTAGGTAGGGGTTGGAGGAGGACTAGGCCTCTGATTTTGAATGTGTGTGTACAATACTTATAATCTATATAATAATATGTTCAAATATGAAGCTTTGTCCTCAATACAAAACTTTCAAACTTAGCCCCCCTAATACTAATTTCCTAGCTCCGCCACTAAGACAATAAAAATAAATTGAAGGAATTAAAAAGCCAACAAGGTATAACATGCTCTTTCACATACTCGAGTAAAATAGAACAGAAAGCAACCTTTGGGTACCACATAGGTCTGTTGAAGACCAGTGGTTTTTTTGGGTGTTGCTGCACTTATTCGCATCGGCCTACTAGAGCAATAGGCCCCATTCATCTCACCCATGGCACGGTTTCTTTCTGCCTCATCAGCAAACTTAACAAAACCATACCCCTTAGTACGTCCAGTATTCGGATCAGTGACAACCTTAGCTCCTCTAACTGATGCATAATGAGTACGGAATGTCTCTTGCAATAGATAATCTGTTACGTCTGGAGCTAAATCCCCTACAAAGATAGAGTGCTCAGGACCAGTGTCACGTCTCTCCCCGAAACCAGATGATGCCCAATTTAACCTAAAGGTTAATTCGGTCCCTGGAATTTGTGATCCATTATAAGACTGTAAAACATTCTCGGCTACAGCATGTGAAGTGAACTCCACAAAACCGTAACCCTCTGGTTGTCCTGTGAGCTTATTCCGAATTACTTTTATTGAAAGTACCTACATCAATTACCAAAAATCATTTAGAAATTAGAGTAACCGATTAAAAAGGAAATATTTCATTTTCTTCTACGCATATTTGTCACATTTCAATCCAACACCCAGACAATCTGAGCATAGGTGTGTGAAAAACATAAAACTTACAAATTGCATGAAAAAATAAGGCAATCAATTGCTCAATTTGTCAATTCTAAAACTGATTTGTAGAGACCTCCCCTGTAACTTCTAAGGCAAAGCTGGTGCAACATAGAACTTAAGTGAAAATAAACAAAACAATCAAGGAGAGAATTATATTGCCCATTGCCACAGTCTAATAGAGTACGATATCCAGTGTTCTAGTCTGGAATGTAATTTAAGGCAAAAGTATCGGTACAATAATGCCAGCTGAAGAGTTAATTATCTAAAATCGCGAACTTTCATTCACGAAAACAGAGGACTCCAAATTAGAAACATTTGCTATTAAAAAAAACAAAGGAATAAAGATAAATAACCTCGCCGGTGGGAGCGAACCAGCTCTGGAGATAAGGTTCTTCAGCCCAGTAGGGCAAGTCTCCAATCCAAAGGGTTCGGACTTCCTCAATTGTTGCCGGCTGGTGGTACGGCTGCGGCCCATTCATTCTTTCTTCTTCCTCCCTTCTCCTCCTTTCCCAGTCTCTTTCCGGCTCCCTACCGGATTGTTTCAGTTCACCGCGCGGCACAGCAGGGCAGACCAGGAGTTTTTCTCCTGTCTTTGATACTCCGTATTGTTCTTGTTATTGAAAATCTCTATATGCCCCCTCAATTGCTCTCATTTTACAATGTACTCCGTAGTTCATTTTGTCAATTCAATACGAGTTGCTGACTTCTATCGACTTGTTTTGATATTATCCGGGCACTTTTTCATTTCTTTTTGCGAAACGGGTCTATTCCATTCGACTCGAAATTCAGATTCATCACTTCACACTTCAGCTCCAGACAATAGTATCTGATTCAGACAATAGTCTCGAATTCAGATATTAGCCCCCACCTCCAACTCGTTGTGACAAACATAGCCTAAGAATAAGAATTAGATGTTTTTACTTGGACTGAAATTTGTTGGTCAATTCTAATCTATTTAAGTCTGGTCGGTAAACGTTTGGTCCCTATTAAGACTTCCGCTGTATCTCTAATGTTTTCAAATAAAGTTGATAATTCCTTTGAATAAATCATTATTTAAATGTATTTTTGGTTGGGGAAAATGGGGGTGTTACAAATTGGTATCAGAGACTTTGTTTTTCAAAATCTTTTAAAGATTTTCAAAAAACTTTTTGAATTGAAATATTATTTTCATTAATTAGGATTAATGAATCTTATTAGGGAGGAATTTTATGGCTTAGGCGCGTGTTAGATTGTGTGATTGATTTTTGTTGTTGTATTTTGTGATGTCTTGGATTGATTTGAGATTTGTGAATTGAACGGAATTTTTCCAATGGTTGCTTGTAGGTGTTCCTTATCCTAGAGTATATTGTGAGTTAGTAAACTTGAGAATAGTTATGAGTATATTCCTAGTATCCTATATCTTGTGATCTTAGGTAGAACTTAATAGGGATCTGTAAGAGTTTCTAGTATTCTGAACTTTGCGTTTCTCTTTTAAGAACTATGGCAACTCATAGGAACGTGGTTGAGGTAAGTAAACTCTTAGTATTCTATATCTAGAGCCCTTTTGATAAGGTATTTCCTTCAGTGTTTCATCTCGACTGTGTTTTGACTTGAGCTTCGGGGATGAAGCGTTCTTTAAGGGGGGTAGAATGTAATACTTAAAAATTTGATTATTTAGATTTAGTTAATGTTTCGGGACGAAACATCTTTTAAGGAGGGTAGAGTGTGACACTTCAAAAATTTACATAAAAATAAAAATAATTTTTATTAGTCAGATAAAATATTACGAAAATAAGAACATCATTTTAGTAAACAAGTGAACCAGACAGAAAATTTACATTTGCGACATTTTAGTCAGATAAAAATGGTCCGATAATAGATGTAACGTATAAAATAATACGGAGGGACTGTACAATAATACGTAGTATAATTTACTAAACCTAAACTAAAATACCTACGTACGTATAAATTTTTATACGTATAAATTAGCAATCAAAACTCCTAAACAAACTAAACTACCTACGTACATATAAACATAATACTAAGTATATAGCTAATATACTTCTAATACTCTTAGAAGTGCAAACGAAATTAACTCAAACTCCAACTCCAACTCTAACACAGCCTAAAACCCTCATCTTTCCCTATAAATAGCAAGCCAAATCTGCAATTTTATTCATTCAAACATGCGATCAATACATACATATATACGTATATATATATATATATATATATATATATAAAAAAAATTCGACAATTCGTTTTAGCTAGAACCAAGCCCTGAAAACACTCTAGAAACCTTCCCCTTCGTGAGACGAATCCAACGGTGAAAGAATCGTAGAAAACGGTCGTGAAACGAGAGAGATATCGCTCGCCGGAGTTGCAAGTTGTGGAAGCGGGTCTTTATAAAAAGCAGATATTTTGCCGTAGATAGGGGTGGAGGAGCTTCGTCTCGCCGCAAGGATCATTTTGCAACTTGAATCGTCGAAATCCGTTATCTGTAAGTCAAGTTATAGCTCGCCGGAGTTTTCTAGTTTCCGGCGAAGTTGCCGGAATCACGACCTGGAGAAGATGACCCAGTTGTCTTGGTCAGAACTCTTGGGCCGGGTCGGTTTAATGGGCCAGTTCGGCCCAGTTTTAATAAAAATTAAAAATAAAATAGTAAATCAAATAAATAAAATCTAGAAAAATATAAATTAAATACCTAGTATAAATATACATATTCGGACCAACCAGAATTGAAAAATAATATTTTTAGCTATTTTTAATTGATTTAATTGTAATTGGGCCAATTTGTACACATTTAGAAAATAATTAACTAACCCGAAAATAATTATGAAATAAATATTGGAGTAAACTAGGATAAATATATGACTAACTAGGACTTTATGGACCATTTATAATTAATAAATATTAAGATTTAGTATATTTAATTGTAATTGAACCGGTTAATAGATATATGAAATTAAATGAATAATTATGGAAATAATTATAAAATAGATATCTGGACAACCTAGGTCAAATATAGACCCAAATTATAGTTATAGACGTTTACTAATTTATAAAGTCGATTCTAAGTCTATTTAATTAAATTGGGCCATATGGAACTAATTAAGTAATTAAATAACGAAATATTAATATTAATGATGAAATAAATAAATCACTGAGGTTGAAAAATAATATTTTGGACTAAAAATAATGTTGGAATAAAATAAGGAAAATAAAATAAGGTTGGGTTAGCTAGCATAAATAATTGACTATATGTAGACTTAATAAATAACTTAATTATGTAATTAGTGGACTAATTCAATTAATAATTTTTATGATTGAATATTAGAGATTCGGACCTCATATAAATATTTAAAATATTTTGAACTCATAAATTGATGGGTTAATATAAATAAAGTAATTAAATAATATTTTATAAGTAGAGTAAATTAATGGTGATTATTGAATAAAAAATTAGATGTTGTAGTTAATTATATTCGGATATTTTATTTCAAATATTGAAAATTTATGGATGAAATTAATAAGGTAATTTGATTAATAAAAAGCGATTAATCAAATAAATTCGAATAACTAATAAATTAAGTTAATAAATTCGAATAATAAAATAAAAGGAGAAAATCGGGTAAAGTAATTACAAATAGAATAAGTGACTAATTTAATCATATTTAATTAAAAAGGTGATTATCTAGAGACCGGATTAGAGAGGATAACTAGGAGCAACAGAACTTAAGGTAAGTTTCTCTGTCAATCCAAAATTGTTTCCTCGTATTATATACTTATTATATGCATTATGTGATTAAGTGTGAATTGTGAATTTTGTGTATGTGATTTTGAGGAGATATTATATATATGGTAGTTAAGAAGTGTAAATCAAGTACTTTTGGGGTATTAAATATTTTTAAATACCTTCGAGACTTTTTAGAGAAATTAAGAAGTATTTTTGAAGTATTATTTAATTGAAGATAAAATTTACATTTTCATAAGAAGTGAGCATCTCGGGAGTAATCCGAGGTGTCGGTTTTTCCACATCCGAATAAATGTGGAGGGTGATTAGAGCTACTACTACTGAGAAGTACAGTTTAAATTTCAAGTGAGATTTGAATCTATGATCCCTTTTAAGTAAGATTTGGATCTATGATCCCTTTTAAGTAAGATTTGGATCTATGATCCCTTTTAAGAAGAAGTTATAGTAGTAGTCCCTAATCATTCAAGAATTTTAGAATTGGGGTGGTTGGGTTCCGACCACTCGGGATGACTTACTACTCGGAGGGCTTGGAATCCCTTTTAGGGGGTGTGCACACTTAAGGTAGTCGTTTAATTTCCGCAAGAGCAGTTGTGGTACCGGCATTTGTTCGGGGTGGCCGTCCGTAACCACGGTCCTCCGGGCTCAGTCGAAAGGTTGAGCACCGCCCTTCTAAATTACCAGGAAGTTAGAGAAGAAGTGATTTTCTTAAGAAGTTTAAAGAGAAGAGATACTAAGAGATTTTCAAAGAGAAGTTGAGGATTTTAGTAAAGAAGTGATTTTAAGAAAAATCAAAGAGAAAAGTATTTTGGTGGAGTGCGTCATTTTTATATGATATTATATAAAAATCTATTTTCGTCAAACCTGATTATTTTACGGGGTTGGGTAGTACTTACTTAGCTCTAAAGCTAATTTTTGTTATTTCTCTTGTCTCTCTCTTCTCCCTTAAATTTTATCAGGTGATGAGTTGGATACCTATGTGGATTGATGGATTGCTCGAGCTTGAGTGCGAATTAGAAGATGACTTAGTTAAATCTAGTCACGAAACAAACATTTACTTATTATTACATTAGTTTTTGTTGTTTTACTTTGAGTAGCCTATGCATTCGGTTAAGAGATGACTGAATGTGGCGGTAATACCCATTTCCCTATTTTAGACTTCCGATGTATTTCTTTAAGTCTTTGATGAATGATTAAAGTATTTCTTTTAAATATATCATTGTTTTTGGGTGGGAAATTTAGGGGTGTTACAGGGGAACAACCATTCAGAGCTTGCCACCTCATGCTCTCACCGACCCTCATCCAGCCATTCAGAGCTTGCCCTCTCATGCTCCCACCGACCCTCATCCAGTATACATAGCAGCGTTTACTACTGTGTTAGAGGTTAGCATTTGTTTACTCATTAGCTCTCTAGTCATTCTATTTCTTGTATTAGCTGCTTAAGTCCTAACTGTCGTTCAGCTGTTTCTTTTGTAAGTGTTATTACTGTGTTAATACAAGCGGAGCTATTTGAGTTCATCAATTATTTTCTATATTTCTCTTCACATAAACCCTAGATACAAGGTTGGTGTTGGGCCTTCGGGTCATTCGGGACTTACAGTTGTTCAAGTGGGGATTAACAGATCATATTGCTCCTGAGTGAGTGATAGTTTCTTATTCCGGTCCCATGGCGTATGATCAAATAATGCTTTTTGATCTTTTTTGTTTATCTATTGTGTCTGGTCTTGTTGTTGTTGAGTTGGATTTTATAATCCTAATATAAGCCATTTTCTGAGAAAAAATATAAATTATTTCACTAGGATTTTTTATTTTATTTTTGAATTTTCATGAAAAAAAAATCTGACTATTGCGGTGACATACTGGTTAGGAAACTACTAATAAAATAAATAGTCTCATTTAAAAGTATCACTTAATTCAAATAAATTTACTAGAATAGATTCACACCAAAATCCATATGACTCAAGGTGACTGGCAAAAAAAATTGTTAAAATAAAAAAGAAACCAAAAGACATTTACTCCGTATTAGAATTAGAATTAAGAAATACGCCCTTAGTCCTAAATTTTAAGATACATTTACTATTCACTTGGTCAACATAGATCACTCTTAATCTTTTATTTTATATATCAAAAGTTTATGAAATTTGAATTATTTTTAACAGGTTTTGTAACGGTTTTAATGTAGTTTCTGAATATGTAAATTTATTTTCTAAAACTAATTTGAGTGATGATAGAGATCAATTTGTTTTATCGTCGATCAAACATCGTAAACTGTAAATTATCTTTGGGAGTAAGAGAGAGTACTAAATAAACAAAGGTCACATTTTGAATGGTTGTCCCATTGGTAGTATTATTTGAAAAGATACTCCGTATGAAAGCCCGGCCGTTGAAAAACAGAAATGGCCATGGCGCAAGGTGTGGTTTACGCGCTCTCTTTGTATTTGCAGTTGAGTTTTACCATTCCAATGACCAAAGTTTGCCTCTCTTTTTCGTTCACCAAGGGTCTCGTTACACACTCTTCCTCTATCTCTCGGGGAATATTAACCCTTACCCTTTCTTGATTCATGTTGGTCGCTTCTTTTAATCTTTTTTCCTGCCATGGCAATCGCGGCCGCTCTCATTCTTCCTCTGGGTGTTCTTTTCATCTTCTCAGGCCTCGTCGTTAACCTCATTCAGGTACCATTTATGCGCTTATAAATGCCCATTTTGCGCTTTCCCCTAATTTCTTGAATGTTCAATGTTTTGTCTTGGCTTTGTGAACAAAATGAAAATTTTCAAGAGAAAAAACTGATTTGGCAAACCCTCTTAAGATATGGGTACATGCTCATTGATGATATGTAATTTTAAGATTGATTATGTCTATGCCACATCTCTCCAATAAATAACAATGTCTTTTCAAAACAATAATTTCGAAATTGTTGAGGTTCTCTAATAACTCATTGTTTACAAGACATTCAAGATATCGTTATGGGAAAGGAATGCCGCTGCACCTGTTAAGGACCAGTTGTATCAGCTTGGGTTGCACAAAAAACAGAAACTGAACTGACCTAAACCGAAGTCTATCTTTCCATAGGTGGTTCTGTGTAAAGTTTTCAGCTTTAAAAACCTACTAAGACATGCCAAAACTGACTTTAGTTATTCGGGTGGTTTTCGGTTTTGCATTTTTTAAAACCAAAGTGGACAAACCAATCCGACGAACACCCCTAGTTTCTACCTATGAACTTGATGACTTCACCCTAATTTTATCTACTCACTCCATCCCAAAAAGAAATCATCTTTCAAACGCTTCTTGTATATTCTGATATAGAAAAGAGTCACCATTCATCTGACGAAAAATGTTTTTTATCTAATTTGTATAAATTTGTTAAAAAAAAGTTAAATATGACAAACCAAGTTATAAAATAACAAAATACATAGTATAATTTAAAATGTTAGTTGGTTCCTATGGCTTTCCATGACCAAATAGGACTTGTTTTTATTTTATGGGACAAAGGGAGCTTAAGATTTAGCATTTGAGAAGAAAGACATTGCCAAGCATATATCCATAGAAGACTACTAAAATGACCAATGAATTGTATATAATGGTTCTATGAATTGCATATCTAAATGTTTGCACTTTCAGGCAATCATATATGTCCTAGTTCGTCCAATTTCAAAGAATGTGTATAGAAGGATAAACAAAGAAGCTGTAGAACTATTGTGGTTGCAGCCTGTTTGGCTTTTCGAGTGGTGGGCAAATATAAAGGTGCCTGGAGGCATTTATTATCATGGATATTTCTTTTATCACTTAGGTTTGTTTATAACTAAAAAAGTGGCTAACTACTGTCTACATCCTCTTAGGTAGAGCTGTATGTAGACCAAGAAACATATGAATTAATGGGTGAGATTCTAACTAAGCTAGTTTAATTCTATTGTTTAAAAATTAAAATTAATGTCATAATTACTTTTACTATTGATGACTTTTTTGCTGATGCTTAATCCAACTTCAGGTAAAGAACATGCGCTTTTTATTTCTAACCACAGAAGTGACATTGACTGGCTTGTCGGATGGATCCTAGCTCAGGTATTCATACATTTTGATGTTAACCGCATTACTACCTTGTACTACCTCCGTCCCACTAAGATTGGGACAACTCGGTTTACGATGCTTGAACGACGATAAAGCAAACAGATCCCTACCCGCACTCAAATTATTTTTAGGGAAAAAAATTACATATTCAGAAACCACATTAAAAGCACTACAAAGTCGCAAAAATGAGAATCAAATTTGATAAAAATTTGATGTATAAAGTAAGAGATTAAGAGTGATTTGTGTCGACCAAGTGAATAGGAACTGTGACAATCTTAGCGGGACGGAGGGAGTAATTTCTATTAGCTTAGCACTAATTATCATTCTTTAGCAGAATTACCTAGTTTATTTCTGCATTGAAATTAGTGCTATTTTTTATTTGGAAATGCATTTGATTGGTTGATTAGATCTTATGACTTCTTATTTTATCATTATCATTTGGGTTGTGCTCTTATCATAACTATTTTATGATTGATCACTGAAACGATTGGCAGCGAGCAGGTTGCCTTGGGAATGCTCTAGCTATCATAAAGAAATCTCTATCATATATACCAGTAAGTTTCTTTGCTAAATCAAATATCTAGTCGTACTTGTAAGCTAAAGTTGAGGATTTTGTTGAGGACGCTCAACTGGGTAATGAAAGATTGAATTCAATCAGTTAGCTGTTTAACTCAAGATCTTATTAACTCATCATTTCCTCTTTACTTGTTCGACTTGTTCGATATGGGACTCCAACATTTATAGAATTATAGTACATCATAGGGTTGATTTTTTTCTATAAATGAATCTCATTGGAACTATAAGCATTTCTTATAATTTATGCAGGTTTTAGGATGGTCAATGTGGTTTTCGGGTTATATTATCCTTGAAAGACGTTGGGATAAGGATGAGAACACATTAAAGGTTATCTTATCTATCCATCACATATTACCTTTCATGTGCATGATTTGTATACTTATTAAACTGGTATGCATTTATTTATTTATTTATTTAATTCATGTATGTTGCAGGCAGGTTTCCAAGAGCTAAATAACTTTCCAAGTGCCTTTTGGTTGGCTCTTTTTCCGGAAGGGACACGCTTTACTCAGGCAAAGCTTCAAGCAGCCCAAGAGTATGCTGCATCAGCTCAATTGCCTGTTCCAAAGAATGTTTTGATTCCACGAACTAAGGTTTGCACATCACTTTTATATGTGTTTACATTTATACTGGCGGGTAGGCAGGGTAGCAGCAGAGCCAGTTGTAATATACTCCCTCCGTCCCATAAAATTCTTCCCACTTACCATTTTGGTATGTCCCAAAATAATCTTCTCATTTCCCTTTTTGGAAAATTGTGTGGCTAACATTTATTTAGTCGATGTGGGATAAATTCTTGAGCGAAAAAGTAATTTTTGGCATTGACTTGCTAGTTTGATCTTTCTATTTTTTTTACACACTTTCAGGGTTTTGTTACGGCAGTCCATCAGCTACGCTCATTTGTTCCAGCAATTTACAATGTAACAGTAGCCATACCCAAAACAGAGCCAGCACCTACAATGTTAAGAATGCTTAGAGGACGTTCTTCGGTGGTAAGACACCAAATACTTTCCACACATTTTTGACAACAACAAAGAAACTCATTTGTTGATGGATGGTTTCATCTAATTTTTCTATTTGCAGGTGCATATTCACATTGAACGCCATCTGATGCAGGATCTACCAGAAACAGGAAGTGGCATCTCCCAATGGTGTAAAGATATTTTTGTGGCCAAGGTGAATTTCTCATGAAATTACATGCAAAGCTCATGTCATGAATATGAAGAGCTCCACTATGAGTGGTTTGAAATGAATTCTATTGTTCAGAGAAATGGTTTTTGGGGATAGAGCTGCTTAGAATTATGTAGGAATTGGCAAATAGGAGTGCGTGAATGAATCATTGCAATAAAGTTTTTTTTTTGCATCAAATAATTAATATAATAAAACTTCTAAATCCCATTTTGTTTCTCATACCCACCTATGTTAATAATCCTCAACAATACTTCCCATTTCTTTCCCTTCAGAGTATTTATTTAAAGAATTCAATCTTAAAATGAATGTCCCAAATATACACTCACTTAATAGCCACTCATTATCTATCCTTCTTTAATATTAAAGAAGTTGCTTCTAGAACCACATTGCATATATGTTTTTACAATAAAAGATTTGTTTTTTATAGAAATTAAGTAATGAGTAGGTGCCAACTGCCAAGAGCAGACTAAAACAATGGCGCCTTTACATTTTGGCTTTCACTCAAAAGAGATAAGACTATCTTAGTTGGCTGCACTCCACAAAGACATAGTAGTACTATAGTATGATATGATATGGGGCCATAAAATTCATACAGACTAATAAGTAGGTTGCGATACTAGAGTGCTTGGTTCATTGATGATATTAACGATTAGACTCTCATAAAATGCTTAGCCTTCTAGAAGGGAATATATTATGGAACTAGCCTACCTAAATTGACTTGCTCGACACGTGAAGTGTCAATGTACTATCTGATACTATTATTTACTAGACACCTGACATACTTTTATTAGAACTCTCCATTTTTTGTGTAAATCCGCCAACTCATAGCTACTTGTTAAAATTCATCATTTTTTGGGGGGAAAGGACGCTTTACTGGAGCGACATCTTGCCACTGGGGCTTTCACCGACAAAGAGTTCCATGAGAGTATCAGAACAAAAAAGTCTTTGGTGGTGAGTAATGCATGATTTCTCCATTTTTCATTGTCTTTATGATGTCTCTTTTGTAATAATAATAAGAATACCTTTTGTTATAATAAAAATGGCTCTTGGTATTTCCTCTCATTCGTGGCAGGTTGTTCTTACACTGTCATGTCTCATTTTCTATGGCGCTGTGAAGTTGCTTGAATGGTGTCCATTCTCATGGAAAGAGGCCGCGTTCTGTGTAGTTTTCTTAGCCATTGTGATGATCATTATGCACATTCTGATTCTAGCCTCTCAATCAGAGTGCTCCAATCCTCCTCATAAAGAGCCCAAGAGAGACCGGTTACAGCAAAGTCTCCTTCCAAAATGAGGCATTAAAAAAACACTTTGTATATATGTAACCTCAGTTTATCACATTTATGGATCTCTTTATTCATAGTCATGTATAGGTAGGGGCGTAGGGTTGTTTCACGTTACAAATTGATCACATCCTTTTTTCCCTTTCATAATTGTAAAACTCTCATGTAATTACTGTATGATGTAATAATATAAATAATAAATAAATAAATAAAGCCGTTTGTTGTGACCTATAATGTACTCTCTCATATGTTGAACACTTTTTATCCTCTAAGGCTGTAAGAGAGCCCTATCTAATTACAAACCACACATTATAAATTTGGTAATCGTAAACAAAATACTTTTCAAAAAATATAACAAAATATTAGTTGTATCTTACCAAAACATAAAGATTGTTACCAGATCAAGCAATTTGTTTGGGTGTAACCGTGTAACCTGAGGGAAAAGTCGAATAGCTTTTGGACATATGCACACCACCCCCTCACGTAAAATTCCTTACGCCAATGGTTTTGTGCATAATGGACACCCAAGTTCCTAACAATTGATAATTGGGAAAATTTTGTTTTAATAAATTCATTGAACGGATGACCTTTGCTATCTAATCATCAAGTACTAGGGATGGACCGGGATGGACAGACTTCAGGCTTAAGGATTTCAGGTCTGGTACCGACCAGGATTTGTACCGGGACCAGGTCGGGTCGGGCATATGGACATGACTGGGCATTCGATTAAAAAAACAGTGCAGTCCCGTATAGCCACTGGGCCGGGCCTATATAGTAATAGACTAATAGGTCAGGTCAGGCCTATACAGTACCAGGTCGAGCCAGACCTAAATAGTACCAGGCCCGAATCGGCCCGATCCATTCCAGTCCATCCCTATCGAGTACTTGCTACTCGAGGTAAGACCTAGTTAAATAGTCCTCTGACTCGCATTGTTTTCATGTTTTGGAGTAACTTGCCAAGTACTCAACAATTTTCTCTACTCAATGAGTCACCTAGTAAAGGTCAAACTTGATAAAATTTTAAACGACAGATGAAGTAGCATTTAAGAATAATTTGTAGGTATTTTAGAAATTGAAAATATAACAGCGTCGAATCCAATGAAAATTAGTTTTAGAAAAAGTTCGAAATTAAATATTATTAGGTGATTTATTTTCTTGAAATTTTGAATGTTTATGATTATTTGGATATGTGGCTAGAAATCTGGGGCATTTATGTTTTTATTACAAGGCTGAGTAATCAGCCCTACTCACTACTCACTACACGACCCTTGACCGAGGTGCCACCAAGTAGGCAAGTAGAGATTTAACTACGGGATGACTATAATTGGAAATGTTTAAATCCATACAATTTTCTACTATTACGGAGGGGATATAAAGAGAGCCAGAAAGTGAATCATCTTATCCTCACATTAAAACTCAGGTCTGCAAATTAATTGAGACGTGGAATAGTAATGAGATTGAGAACAAGTTGGGCAAATGAAGATTTTCAAACAAGTTTGGATCTGTTACAATTTTTTATAACTAATTTTGAGCCGAGTTCGACCCCGAAGTGTTTTCCTCGTTAGAACCATGTGGCTTCTTCCCATGTTGATGTTTCAACAAATTAATGTCTGGTACCACTTCAATCTCATTGTCAGGCTAGTAAAGAATCACAAAGAACAATTAAAATGGGAAATACAAAGGAATAAACAAACAAGACATAAAAGATATATTCACCTGCCACAGGCGCAGTAGATGCCATAGCAAGAAGTCAATTAACATAACTATGTAAAACAGTTTGCCTGCCCAAGCTCCACAAGTGAGGTACCTACCAAGACGACCAAACAAAGGTTCACAGCTATTTTGATATTCCAGTATTGCTGATGACCAATGTTAATATGCAAATTTAAGTCCTCCCTGGCCCCTACCCCAAGAAAGCCAATAAGCTTTCTTGCTCTCCAACCGGGTTCAAAAAAATGCAAATTTAAGTCCAATAAACGAGCATAGTTATTATTATCATTTGCAATGTGGTTTTATATGTGATTACCTGAAGTTATTTAACATGATAAATTCACGTAGATTATTATACCAACGAAGTTTTACCATCACAACCTTAATTCCAATTAGTAGGGGTCAATGGCATGAAATTTATAGTGCTATATGATTATCTAAAATTAACTAATAGTAGTACTAAAAACAAATGGAAAAAGAAAACTTTGTGGCAAAGTTACAATTAAATCCCTTCAAGATGGTGCAAGCTTCTTAAGAATGAAAAATTAGAAGGAAAACTAAAACCGCTCAACACCATTAGGTTATAACCGTTATATCCACTTCCATGAAAAATATCATGAGACAGCAATAAGTTGAAGTAGTTGTTATTGTCATGTTCATTTCATGATGGATAATGTAAAACCAACACGCAAATCATAAAATCAACATAGCTACATGATTGGTATGGGCCAAATAAATTCTATTTGCAATATAAACTTGGAAGACTTGTCACTTATCTATAACTTGCATAAGATACCCATCAGGAATTGGTTTTCCCATTTAGAAATGTCCAAACGGACGGTGTCAAACTATCACCACCATCCGCCTAAGTTTAACCAATGTGCGCACAAATAAAATTGCACTTTAGAAAAAATGCATACCTAGACAGTCGCTCCAGTAGTGGAGGATTTGAGTGTTTTAGAGCGCGGCCGTACACAATCTCTGTCCTCTTGGCAACATCATGCCAGCTATATAGTTTCTTAATCTGGATAAGAAAGAAAGACTATTTTCGTGAGGTACAATGGTTGTATAATACTACGTATTATGATTAGGTCCTCCAGAGTCCCAGAATCACCAACTTCCAAATCATAATAAAATCACTAAAAGAAAGCATCAGATTCAGTTACTTACACGGTTGTGCATAACTAGTGGATCAATCTGGGGAATCATGTGTATTGCCTTTGTGATTGCTTGTACCATGTCACTAGGATCTGGCTCTGCAAGAACAATCATATCATCTGGAAGAACCTGATGGACCATTAACCAACATGAGAACTAAATTAATCCACCCTGTTCACATTAACTAAGCTACAAACATGTGAAGCAAAGAAAGTATCATAATCATACTTCTGGAACTCCCCCAACACGTGTGCTGACAGTCAACAATCCACAACTTGCTGCTTCTAATATAGCTATACAAAATGCTTCTGTTAAAGAGCTAGTGCAGAAAATGTCAGAATCAGGTAAAGAGAAATATGGGGTCTAGGATAAAGGAAACAACTTATCCTTATAGACATTTTTCTATTTTTATGTTACATAATCTTTGTGGCATATAATGATATAAACACATTTTAAAAATTGGTTTACAACATCATGAGCAAGGGACTCTCCCATAATAATTGCATGCAAGATAATCTAGTGCACTTGGAAAAAAGAATGTGATATACCTATTCAAGAAAATATGGCCTGTAATTAGTACTGACTGTACTTTAGCATGTGGGACAGCTCCCAACATCTCAACTCGATCTTGAAGAGAGTGTTTTTCCCTCATCTCTTCCAGACGCACTCTTTTAGGTCCATCCCCTCCAACAATGAAGCGAACCTAACACGCATCAAGATTGGCTGCTTAATTTAAACCTGCTAAAAGACACTTAGGATCTATCTACTCAAGCAGCTAAGTAGAAATACCCACATTGGGATGCAAACGGCATACTTCAGGGATAACCTCAACCAGCAAATCTGCCCCCTTCCTATAAACCAATCTACTTATCACAACTATAACAATTTCCTCAAGGCTGAGTTTTTCTGGAGCAGGTTTGAACATGGCCGTGTCCACAGCATTTGGAATGACAAAAACCTTTTCCGGTGGTAAACCTGATCTCAAGACTGTGTTCTCTTTGCTTGTGTGAGAAACACAAATAGCCTGTGTTACATCAGCCAGAGTAAACTGCAATACCTTGTTCATGTGAATGCTTCCCACATCAGAAAATCCATAAAGAGAATGATCAGTGAAAACAACTTTGTATCCCATGGTACGTGCATGCATTAGAGCCTCATGGCATAGAGTAGAGAACGCTTGATGTCCATGAACTAATGATATTCTTTCCCTCATAACAATAGTTCTTATGATGGGAAGTGTGCCGTAAAAAGTTGGTAGTGTATTCTGCATGATAAAAGGCTTCCATGGCACATAGTAAACCTTCAAGCCACCTGTCATGTATCTCACTCCAGAGCGGTTTTTATAAGCATGAGTCATAACCACCACCTAACTTCATATAAATGAGCATAACAATTGCACTGTATTAAACACCATCTACATGAAAAACTATACTTCAGGTTAAAACTATTTGTTTCATCAGGGTTACTTCTGAAGATCGCATTGTTAATGATTTTATTTATCTATTAGATGAATACATGCAAAAAAGATTAGAGGTGTCAGAGCTCTTTTTAATTGGTGAGAGGATGCAGTCTCTCAATATACTGGTGCTATAGAAAAATTCATTAGGAATTTAAGATTATTTGGCTAGCTTCTAACTTTAAAGAAAACTCGTCCAAAAATAAAATGTTCAAATTTTCTCCAAATGGTTCATTGGGATAATTCATTGATGGAATAAAGCAAAATGGTTCACTAAACTGTTTGCGCTTCTTTGTTATGAAGCAGCAGTCAGTCCATGCAATTTTGGACGGGATTTTCACTATAGGTCATCCGGAAACAGTCTCTCTGCTTTAGTACAGGGGTAAGACTGCGTACATCCGACCCCCCTTACCCCACCGTAGGTGGGAGCCTTTGCAGCACTGGGGTAAATGAAAATGAAATGGTTCATCGGGATAATTAGTTAGCGCAAACTGTCTAAGCAAACCCACCAAGCTAAGCTCCTTCATCACTTCCCTTTCTGCATTCACCATAGCTAAATACGCAGGGGAGATTACATTAATATTTTCTTGTCTCACTGTTTTTTATTTGCAACTGTGTATGATATACAAATTCTTACTTATATAATATCAAGCCAAGTGTGGGGTAATTCCATGGGAATACGAAAAATTTAATTATCTTTCTTTCTGTCTAGGGGCATGAATGATATCAGACTTATCACTATCATTTACAGACATACACTTGGTCATATTGTCAACGAACTATAGTAATTTCGATACAAATTTATGAATTATCACGTTAAAACCTGACCTTATGGCCCTGCTTCATCAGGCATTGAGATAGATAATAAATGTGATTCTCCACTCCACCAAAATTAGGATAGAAA